TATTGAATTTATTTATCAGTTCTAACAGTTTTTTGATAGTCTTTAGGTTTTTTCTAAGTATAAGATCATATCTGTGAATAAGGAGAATTTGAGTTCTTTCTTTCTAATTTAGAAGCCCTTTATTTCTTTTGCTTAATTGCTCTGGGCAGGACTTCCAGTATTGTTAATAATATGGTGAAAGTGGGTGTTGTTGTCTCATTCCAGATGGAGGGAAGGCCTTTACTTTTTCCCCAAATCAGTATGATGTTAGCTGTGAGTTGTTGTTTATGGCCTTTATTATTTGCTGTATGCTCCTTCTTTACCCTGTTTGATGAGGGGTTTTATCATTAAGTCATCTTTAATTTTATCAAATACTTTACTTGAATATTTTAAGCCCACTGTTGAGACCTACTTCTCAGAATGAAAGATTCCTTTCAAAATATTACTGTTCATTGACAATGCACCTGGTCACACAAGAGCCCTGATGGATATGCACAAAGGGATTCATGTTGTTTTCATGCCTGCGAACACAGCGTCCACTCTGTAGCCCATGAGTCAAGGTTAATTTTGACATCCAAGTCTTATTTTTTAAGAAATGCATTTCATAAGCTGTAGCTGCCAAAAATAGTGATTCCTCTGATGGACCTGAACAGAGTCAATTGAAAACCTTCTGGAAAGGACTCATCAGTCTAGATGCCATTAAGAACATTAGTGATTCACAGGAGGAGGTCAAAATACCAACATCAGCAGGAGTTTGGAAGAAATTGATTCCAACACTGATGAATAACTCTGGGGGGTTCAAGACTTCCGTGGAAGGAAGGGACTGCAGATGTGGAAATAGCAAGAGAACTAGAATTAGAAGTAGATGTGACTGAGTTGCTGCAATCTCATGATAAAAATTGAATGAAGAGTTGCTTCTTGTGGATGAGTAAAGAAAGTGGTTTCTTGAGATGGATTCTACTCTTGGTAAAGATGCTATAAACATAGTTGACGACAAAGGATAAAGTATATTACATGAATCGAGCTGATAAAGCAGCAGCAGAGTTTGAAAGGAGTGATTACAATTTTGAAAGTTTTGCTGTGAGTAAAATGCTATCAAATGGCATTGAATACTAATATATTATACAGAGAAATCTTTCTTGAAAGGAAGAATCACTGGATGTGGCAAACTTCATTGTTGTCTTATTTCAAGAAATTGCCACAGCCACCCCACCCAAGCCCTCAGCAACCACCACTCTGATCAGTCATCAGCCATCAACATTGAGGCAAGACCCTCTGCCAGCAAAAAGGTTATGATCATCTGAATGATCATTGCATTTGTTAGCAATAAAGTTTTTTGAATTAAGGTATATACATTTTTTAGACATAATGCTATCACACAGTTCATAGAGTATAGTTTCATGTGAACATAACTTTTATAGGCACTGGGAAGCCAAAAAATTTGTGTGATTGATTTATCGAAATATTAGCTTTATGTGGTAGTCTGGAAGTGAACCCGCCATGTCTCCTGAGGTATACTTGTGTTTGTTTTCCTTTACTATCAGGAAAAATGTTTTAAGGTAGATCCTGCACCTTTTTCAATTATTAATAGTTAGCTTTTGTGTTGCCTTTGTGAACAAGTTCTTCTTGTGTTTCCATTGTTTGCTAGATTTTCTCTATATCATCCTATAGAGTTTTGCAATATACTTTCCATCAAAATACCGATTAAAAAATATTCAGTGCTTATTCTGTAGGACACAGTAGAAAATGTTGAGGGGATACAAAGACAATATAGGCCTTAAAAGCTGCTTATTTTTAGTGCCAAGAATGAGATTGTTTAACTCTTCAGCAGCAGAGCCTGATAAGCCCAGATAACCTCTCTTTAAGAAATTCTTCTTTTAAAGTTTTTATTGTTTGTTTCATGTTTTTGTATGTGTCATATTATTTACTTTTTATTGTTGTAAGTCCAAAAACACATGGGTTTTTGTTTCTTCTCTTCCTTGATTTCTTTTTAAGTTTCTAGTTCAGATTATATTTTCTAAGCTTGTATCGTATCAGGTAAAGCATTAGAAACAATATAGTCCTTTTTAGGTGGTGATTACCTAGAAAACTTAGAACAGTTAATTCATGGTTGTGTCTTTGTCAGTGGTTAGTACATTTTTTCCTATTTTGTACATCTAGTGACTCATTATGGAAAATAAGCATTACAAATTACTGTTTCTCATTTGATAAAATATTCATTAAGTTTTTACTGTATTATTTTTAAAAAAACTTTTCTACTAGGTTACAAAGATATTCTCCTTTGTTTTTCTTGCAATATTATGCTTTTACATTTAGGTTTGTTATCTGTCCCTAACTGATTTTGTGTAGAGTATGAGCTAAGGGTTGAGTTTTTTTTCCTGGTGTGGATGGATATCCAGTTGTTTTTGTACCATTTGTGAAAAGACTTTCCTTTCCCTTTGAATTATGTTGGTGTCTTTGTCAAAAATCAGGTGTAAAGGTGTGGTCTATCTCTGGACCCATCTATTCTGTTGATCTATTTGGGTGTTTTTATAGGCAATACCACGCTGTCTTGATTGCAGTAGCTCTAGAGTAAGTCTTAAAGTCAACTTTTTTCTCCCTTTCAACATAGTTTTGGCTATTTTAGTAATTTCCATATGAAATTTAGAATCATCTTGTCAATTTCTATTAATATTTACTTACAAATATTATTTATAAACTAATTTTTAAAGTACTTCTGGGATTATGGTTGCGATTGCATTGAATCTATAGATCAATTTGGGTAAATGGACATCTTAACAATATTGAGTCTTCTGATCCACAAGCATGGTACATCTTTACTTTCTGCTTAGCATCAGACTTGGCTCTTTACGTAGGGTATTATTATTGAGATGATGCATATAGAGTGCTTAGCACACTTAGCTTGGCATATATAATATACTCTCCACTTTGTAATGTTAATATATATTATTAGTGCCTTTAATCTTCACAAAGCCTTATAAAGTGCTATTGGTATCCTTATTTTACTCAGTTTGGAACTTGACCATGGTTATCCAGCTAGTAAATGGGTTTGGAATGAGGTCTTTGTGACTCTAAAGGCCATGCTTGTAGGCACAGTGCCACTGGGAGCCAAAGATCATGAGCCTCAGATTGTATTTTGCTGCATTTTGTGGATGGTTCTATGTATTGGTAGATTAGGTTAGAGTCTCCACGAGGAGAAGAATTTATTCTGAACTGTGTAAGGAGCACAGGACTCTAATAAAAGATAGGGTACTTCAGAGTCTCTTCAGGAGAGCCAGACTCTGCATTTGTTATGCATATGCACAGCCACACTGTGTGGCTTCTCTTGTGAAAATATCACCGTTCTATACTCAACAGTGGACTCCAGGGCTCTGCCCTGCCAGCCCAAGGAACAGGCCCCTCTGCCACTGGGTGTGCTAGCAGAGGGCTCTTCCCATCCTCTGCGCCTCCTCACAGTGCTCACTGCTGCCCCCAGGTCTACAGGGGCTTGTGTGTCATCACAGGAACTGATCACTCGTGACCGAGTTATGAGGCATGCTGGAATGAGAGACGGTGAGTGTGGGACTCACAGACCGAGACATTACCCAAAAGTTTGGGAAGCCATAAATGGTTGCCTAGTGTATCTTGTTTGCTAATTTATAAATAGGTTTTTCTCTTTTGGTAGTAACATGAAAACAAAGCTTCATGAGTTTTAATCTACATGATAAATTCTTAGGTAGTATGTAAACTAATAGGTGAGCATGGTTCCCCTGCTTTGCGTATGTTTTAATCTATTGTTACATAGACTCTAGACACAGGGCAGGGTTTGACTCATGTTTCTGCCACTTAGTTGGTGGCATGACCTTGGGCAACTTAGTGTCACTCTCTCTGCATCAGTTTTCTCACCTATGAATTCAGAAAATTATAATATCTAACTAATAGCATTATTTTAAGGTATTCTTTTAAAGTATTCTAAGCTACTATACAGAATGTGCTTAACTCAGTGCTTGGTATACAATGAGGACTCAAAAATACTACTTATTTTGTACATGCACACTTTCATATGTACATTCCATGTACAGATTGTTTAAATGTGGGAAGAGCTTAACCTTTCTCTGACTTATAGATAGAAGCGGTTGGAGAGGGTTGGGGGAAAGAGCTCTGACCTTTTGAGATATAAGCGTGATAACTGTTCTGAAGTGGGAGAATATTTGGTAGTAACAAAACAGCAACATTCCTTGCTGCCTACAGGGATTTCTTGTTTATTAGCTCAGAAAATCGCCGTTGAAGGTTATTGGCTGTTGTACTTTGGGGTCCATTTTCAGCAGTGTCCTGAGGACAAGCCACATGGAAAATGGACTCCTGGTTTCCCGTCCTGCGCCGTTGGCTGCCTGCGCACACACCTGCCTTTGCTGTGCAGGTCGGAGGTCTCTCTCAGCTTTGCACATGGCTGGGCGGTAGCAGAGAGCAGAGCAGAGTCACATCTGGTCCATTTGCAATGTCATTACTGCACCTCCGCTGAGGCCTGGCTTTCACTGACTTCCTCCCTGCTTCCGCCAGTCCCTGCCAGGGGGACGGTAGAGCTATTGCCTGGGAAAGGCTGGTGTCATTTGGCATTCATTCCTACACCTGGGGAGAGTGGAGAGAGCGCTGCATGGTTCTTGCTAATTACTCCACAGCAGAGAAGAAAGTGTGGGCTGTGTCCGTCCTTGGAACAAAAGTAAGACTCTCAGAAGGCAGCAGTGTGGCCAGCGAGGCCGAGAGCGCCATCCCACAGGGCTAGAAGCCTGCCTGATGGTCTCTCTCGCTTAAAGCACATTATTTTGTCACAAAAGAGTCCCCTGGCAAAGCATTAGTTTTAACCTTTTGGCTACACTTAAGTTGGAGAACACTGTGGAATTTCTAGAACAGAGCTTTGGCTCCCAAGGCAACTTAGCTTTGGTTTTATTTTGTCCCATGAAATAAAAGGGCCAGAGTGCATTGCTGTTCTCTGTTCTTTTTCCATCTCTTTGCCTCATGACTTGCATCTTACCCTTATTCAGGTGTCTGTCTCTGAAGAAATCTTGCTTACGAGTGAGGATGCCACTGTGTTATCACACTTGATAGTTGCCTTTTGGGGTATGTTAAAATGGAACTGGGAGCCCGGAGAGTGCTTTGGGCTCCTTCCCTGCCCCTGTGCCCCCTGCCCCATCACCAGAGGCCCAGGAGAGCAGAGCAGAGTGCGGCTTGGGTGGAGCGGCCCCTGAGCAGTGTGAGGTTGGGGTTGCTGTAGCCGCCTTTGAGTGCATGCAGAGTGGTGTGTTTGTGTCCCGTGCTGGGTTCCTGCCCAACCTCCGCATGTCCGCCTGCTCTCTAATCCCGCGTTTCCTGGGGCAGCTTTCTCAGTGCTTCCTCTCATTTGATTTCCGTTCTTTGCCGTTTCTGCCTCTGCTTTCTTTAGTTCTGTAATTCTGGTTTTCTGTTGCTGTCACTGTTGGCTTACCCAAGTCAGAAGAATCTGTGTCTCCACACAGTCTTGGCATCGTGACAGGTGGGTGTCCAGGCTCCCCGCTGCTTTGCCCCACTCGCCTTTGGCGTCACTTTGCTGGAGCACATGTTGCTCTTTCTGTCTCTGGGGTTCAGATATCCTGGTCTGGCCTCAAGCGAGGGGCCATTTCTCTGCGCCATGTTGGCCCCACCAGTGAAGCCAGTCCCTAGCAGGCCGAGCCGTCCCTACGGAGCAGCTGCCCTGAGATGATTGTCGTCTGCATTGGCATATAGTAACTTAAAAACCCCTACATTTTTTCAGGAAACATTGAAAACGGATATGTGAAGCTCACTGTTATAAATTCGAAAATTAACAGAGAACACCTACCTCTTATCGGAAATGTTGGCCTCTCTTGGAGAACTAATGTTCTTGATGGCTGTATAAAGGTAAAAAACAGCTGTTTTCTTCAAGTAACCTGGTTTCTGTATAATAAAAAAAAGTCTGATGATATGTATATATAAGTATGCTTCCTTTGAAGTTCTGGGTTTATCATTCTGGTTTCTGAAGATTTGTGTACATTCTCTTAGCCATTGGCTGTCAATTCATTCATCAGTGCCTATTGAGTGCCTGTTGTTTTCCCTGAGTGGGTGGAGGGGGAGTGGTAGCAAACCTGCAACAACGTTTCTGGATAGCATCACCCCGCAAAGGCCCCTATCTGTGTGTGTTATGGAGAGAGAGGGGGCTGAAGGTTGGACCAGGCAAGTAGCATCTGCTCAGAACAACACCTTGATCAGTCATATGCCAATTTAAAATTCATCGCAATTGTAAGTTCTTGTTCCAGGATATAGGTGTATTTCCTAGAACAGTTAGGTAAAAACTAGCCACGTGGGTGGGAGAGTTGATTTAGAGGTTGGGAATTGGCAGGGGTGGAGGGAAGGGAGGGAGGAGAGAAGAGGTGTTCTCACGTAGTTTTGTTTTCTTCTGTGAACCCTGTTTCTATGGCTATGCCTGGTTCTCATCATTCTCCATGTTTGTTTTGTGGGATGAACAGGATTTTCTTAGTCACAGGAACCCATGGGATTGGTCTCTTGAGACTGGGGGCCCCCTGTAACATAGCTCTACTCTTTCCTACGTGTGCGGGTGCCTTGTTAGAACTATTAGTGATATGCCTGAGACCAAGAGCGTTATCTCTTGAGCCACTTGATCCTTGATACAATGAGATGTTTTACTAATCCTATTTGTAAGCAAATGTTTTAAACTTTGGCAAAAGTGATGTTTATCACACACACAAGAATATTATTCCATGCCTTTAAGAGCACAAACCTGACTTCTTTATCTTTCTTTGATGGATTTAGATAGGGCTTATAATAAAAATATGCACTAAAATAAAATATTAAAATCAAAATAGATCTTGAGGACCAAGAAAGACAGAATATAAATATGATAAACTTTTAAAGAGTCAGCATAATTTTTAAAAATAGTATGTGTTTTCTAGTAGTTTAGAGCAAGATGAAAGCAGTCATTTAGTTCTCATTGGGGAAAAAAAGGGAAGTGTAGTAATTATAGGAAGAAACAGAGCTTTATCCTAGCTCAGATCATTAAAAAACAAAGTCTCCAACGGGACTGTATATAGGGCAGACTGAGCTACATAATGGACCAATCCCACGTAGCATTTCAGTGGCAGATGCACTGTAAGATTTCATACAGCAGTTCTCATGGAAGCAGAGGATGTAGTTTCAAGATTGGACTCAAATGAGCTCTAAGTAGTGATTCTGTAGGTTGCTGAACATGTGACTTAAGTATATAGGCTTCCAGAAAAACAGCTTGATCTGAAAGCAGGATTTTAAGTCTTAATGTAGGGAATGGGTTGCCTGTCCCTGGACAATTTTCCCCATAAATTTCTCCTCCCAGATGAGCTTTGGGAGAAGACAGAGAATAGCTCAGAAGCTTGTGCCCTTCCCCTTGGCCTGGAGGGTGGTGTGGTTGATTTGCATTTTGCCATTTATACTGTTGGGTTCAGTATTAAGACTAAGCTGTCCTTAAAGTTCCTGAAAGGAAAAAGTCAGGTGAGTGATGTCGTGTTTCCTGTGCAGGTCAGGAATTTCCCTCCAGGAATCTGACGAACCTAAGTATAGTGAAATGATGACATTTATTTTAAGAAATTACTTTCAAGAAGTTAAAAACTTTTGTTTTTAATATAAAGTAAGGTCAGACGATAGAAAAGGTTTCTTAGGTGCATATGACTATTAAAAACAAAAATAAAATAAAATCCCCGCTTCTCTTGGAAATTGTAGAAACAACTTCTGGTGAGGATCTAATACTGTAGCTTAGAATGCCCATCACAGCAAAGGCTAGTAAGAAAGTATGTCGCCAAATCTGATTCTGGTCACAAGGACAAAAAAAAAAAGAAGAAAAAATAATAAATATTAATGATAATGACAGAGGACACTTGTGTTGCGTTGTATTGTTTGAAGTGATGTGTGGTCATGGAGGGGGTGTCTGGTGTCCACTGGATCTTATTGTTCCCATAAAAATCTTCTTCCCTGGAGCTCAGAGGAGAGTGACTCTGACACTTAGCTGGTATGGAGGAAATTTAAGTGGAAAGGGTCTTTAGCTCGACTCCCTGGAGTATCACTTCAGCAGCTTGTAAGTTTGTATGGTAGATTATTAGACTTTAAAAAAAAAATCACATTACATACAACTTCAGTTTTTTCTTGTTTAAGTCTGGTTATGATATCAAATATATTTTAAAGATGCTTCCAGTGACTGCATGTTAGTCGTGAATCCAGACAGGATGGTTGCTCTCTAAGGGGTTGCCCTGGAATTTTACAAAGTCATTTTGAATAGCTGGGCTACCCTATCAAGGTAGCCTTGCTATGATATTCAGTATAATTCAAAATAAAATACTCTTGTGCTCTGTCTTCTCTCAGTTCCTATCAGAATTTCTGATTGATAGATTTTCTTTTGGTAAGGCTTTTCCTATTGTGTTCCTTTTACTTTGTTCTTTCATGGTTTGGCATTTTTTTGATGTTATTTTGACACTACTTCTAACGCTATATAGGGTTTGGCATCAGTTTTAATTTAAACTAGGCATATCTCTGTGGTTCTGCTTTATGCGAGAAGAGTTGAGTTCAGCAGAGCCTGCCATGGGCACACCATAGTCCGGCATGCTGTGGGTGGCTGTGCCCATGAGGAAGGCACATTGGCCACTGGCTGCTAAGCACTGTGGCTGTGGGGTTATTGAGTGTGCTGATGCCACTGAACCAAGCACCTTAGGAAGAACAGGATATTCCTGCATGCCCAAGGGCCGTATTCTCCCCAGACACTGAATTTTGAAGCTGGTGCAGTTCATTGGCAGGTGGACATGCAGGTTTGGACAGTAGCCCATTCCTGGGGGGAAGCTGAGGCCCTCTGACTGCTCAGATGTGTACCTGCCGGATGTCCACAGTGATAGAGACTGATTTAGGAATGGATTGTTGGAAACAGCTTTCTGTAGGGCAGTAGGAGGAAGGTTTGAGGTAGGTTTAAAAATACATCCCCCTCCAGAAGGATGGTAGTGATATGTTGTAGAGGAGGAACCGAGTGAAAAGGAGATGCCTTGGACACGATGGGGGTGAGAACAAGGTGCTAGAAATGTCCCCCATGCAGCAGGGGTGGGTGGGTACCGCATATAGGTGAGGAGACCACTGGCCGCACGCCTGGTACCAAGGCTGTCCTTCCTGCCTCACTGTTGTGCCTGGCACCAGCTAGCCAGGGAGGCAGAAGGAGTGTGACGGAAGTGGGGCCTTGAAACCCACAGGGAAGAATTTGGGTTTTGGTTTAAGTGTCCCTGGAAGTTGTTAAAGGATTTGATGTGCCTGTTGTGTGCTAGGCCATTTTATAGGTTAGGAAGGAATTGGGGAATGCTGGGCTTTGGGAACGAGAAGGGTCTCGGGAGCTGGTGGGCTGTCTGCTCTCTCTGAGGCAGCTGCGGGCTGGGAGAGTAGAGGGATTAAGTTGCTGGTTGAAGGTGGAGGGCCACCGAGTGGTGTCCTTGTCAGGGAGTCCTTGTGCCTCTTTGACCATTCTGCCTTGGTTTCTATTAGGGCTGCTGCTTCTCAGCCATCTTGCAGACGTGGAGGCCAGGGGTTTTGCCTTCTTCCTCCATGGCTCCTTGCTCAGGGCTCTGACCACTGTCTCTCTGCTGGTGGCTTTGGGTGAGGTTTTAAGTAACAAAACCAGGTGACTGCTAACCCAGTGGTTAAGATCATGATGGGGTGAGAAGAGCTTGGATTCGTCCCACCACTGTACTGTCTTGGGACTTGCTTAGGCCACAGAGCCTTTTCTCTGAAATGCTGTAGTGATGACTCCTTATTCCAGAAGGGCTCTGGCTCCCTGGGTGCAGCAGAGACGTCTGCTAGAGCTCAGCCTTGGCCTTGACTCCCCAGTCTCAGGCCTGGCAAGGTCGCATCATGCGGGCTCCCTTCTTCCCCTCCTTCCTGGGCCCTTCTTCCCCTCACACATGGGCTCTGTGCTGCAGGGGTGCAGGGCGTGGGCCCTTGCTGGCTGGTCTCCACTGTTCTAGGACCGCCACTGTCAGTCACCTAGAAGAGGCCCAGGAGTGAGGTCAGGTGTCCGGGGGATTCCTGGGCATCTCGCTGTGCAGCCTCCCAACATGGGGGCTCAGGCTCGGGGGTCACCGCTGTCATGGATTAGGGGTATTTCCATTTGCTGGTCCTTCACTCAGGTCTCCTGCAAAGGTGGCAGCCAGTTCATATCACTTACTTACTACACCATCTCATGTTTTCAACTTTTAGAATGTTTTTGCTCCTCAAATTTCCTAAGATACACATTTATTCAGTCAAGACTCTTTGACCTGATTATACTTAGGTGCAAACGGTCAGCACTTTTGGCCACATTAATTAGTTATCACTTCTGAAACAGTGGTGTATAGTTGCTCAGTTTATGCTGATATCTAGAGTTAAGCATTTAAAATCCAATTAATAGAACAGTAATGCAGGGCAGAAGTCATGGCAAATACAGAGCCACACTGAAATGGTGAGCGTTGAAAGATTTTATCCTTGACACTCCCTCTTAGCTTCATTAGAATTAAATAGTTTATGGAAACTGCTTAGGTTAGTGTCTGGTACACAGAACCTGTTAAAAGACAGCTCACATGGTAGTTCTTGGTTCATATAGGTATTATTCACAATATTCAAAAAATGGAAGAAACTCAAGTGTCTGTCCACAGATAAATGGATAAACAAACCGTGGTCTGTCCTTACAACAGAACATAATTTAGCCTTTAAAAGGAGGGAAATTCTGACACATGCTACAATATGGAAGAACTTTGAGGACATTATGCTGAGTGAAATAAACCGGTTCACAAAAGGATAAATACTCTATGACTTTGCTTATATGAGAGTCCTAGAATTGCCCAATTCATAGAGACAGAAAGTAGAATAGT